GCCTGGAGAGGAAACAGCATTCGGAGCCGCGCTCCCGCCCAGGCCGGCCCTGACGCGGGCCTCGTCAGCCGGTAACGGGGAGCAGAGGTGGGGGTCAGGGAGGCGACCACGAAAACGGTGAAGGTCAGAACCGAGAGGCCTCCTCCGAGAAGGGTGAGGAAAGGGTCTGAGCCTCCTTCTACAGACTCTGCAGAGCTGAGGCGGGGTCGACCCCTCCCAGGGGCGGGGTCGCGCTGGGCAACTGCAGCCCTGGGGACTGACTGGGCGGGGCGCGCCAAGAAAGGGGAGGAAGGGGTCAGCTGGGGGTTGAGGGCTCTCCGGCGGCGGGAAGCAGGAGGTGGGCTGTGGGGCTGAGGCCGTGGGTGGGGTCCTGGAGCTGGGACTCCGGTGACGGGCTGGGGAAGCCCCGGGGCCAGCGGGTCCCTTCCGCCTCTCCTTTGGACCCTGACTGGAGGCCGGCGGGGGTGGGGGCAGGGGAGGGCGAGCGGCGCGAGGGGGCGGGTCCCGGCGCTACTCGGCGCTGATTGGCTGAGCGCGTGTGGAATCGGGTGATGGGAAACGCAGCCCGGTTCTCCCGTGCCCTCCTGCTCCTCTCCCTCCCCCCCGTGGCGAATGTGCTGCGCGGCGGCGGGTGCTTACGCTCGCGGGGTTTGGCTGTTGCAGGCAGGAGCTGGGAGGAGGCGGCAGCGGCAGCGGCAGGAGCAGCGGCGGCGGCGGCGGCGGCAGCTGGGAGGAGGTGGTGACGGTGGCAACGGCAGCGTCGGGGACGATGGCGCGACTGGTGGCAGTGTGCAGGGACGGGGAGGAGGAGTTCCCCTTCGAGAGGAGGCAGATTCCCCTCTACATAGACGACACCCTCACGGTGAGCGGGCCGGGCCGGGCCGGGCTCGCCGCTCCCCTGGCAGCTGTTTCCCCTCCTCCCCCTCCCCCAGGCCGAGCGCTGCGCACTGGAGAAAGAGTGTGTTGCAACTCCTAGGCGAGGCCTCCTCTCCGGCAGGCCCCACAAACTCGCCTTTGCAGTGTGTCGCACGGTAACCTCTGCGGGCCCCTAGCCCAGCGCTCCGTAAGCATTTCGAGCCCCTCTCGCCAGATTTTCCTTCCTTTTTGAACCTCTTGCTTTCCCCTGCATCTCAGCGAGACGCTGCTTTTGCCAAAGCCCGCGCCTCGGAGAGGAGTTGAAGGATCTTGGGCGTTTAGGGCCTATCCTTTACAGAATCCACCTACCCTCGGGGAAGCTTCATTATCTGGAAATGTCGCAGCTGCACTGCTACCTGCATATTTTCTCTCTCAATATTATAGCTCACTAGGGAAGCTTAATTACTTAAGGCAGAGTGACATGCTCTCGCACAGTAAAGATTCCACTAAAATGATTTGGTTTCATTGCAAATAGTGTCATATTGCCTAGTACATTAATACTCTTTGAAATGATTGTAGTGCTAGGCCATGACTCTTCAAAATGGATTTTCTTGGCAGTAGTTATTTTTTAGTGTACAGGTAGCCTTTTCTTTCTTTTTTTAATAAAGCAAAATTATTGAATGTGTAAGGGCATTATAAAAAGCTGATTGTTCATCTCGAGTGTCAAAACCCACTTCTGGGTAGTTTTCTTTTTTAGAGTTGATGGTAGTATAGCATTACTGACCCTCTGCGCTGTGTTGCTGTACTATTTCCTTTGAAAGGAAATGGCAGAAATTTGAATTGAATCTGAACAGGAAATGAGTGCAGTTGCTTGCCACTATTTCGTAAAAAATGAAATGAACCTTTTCTGAATATCTTTTGAAATCTGCATTTTGATGATGCTGAAGCTTTGGATTATACATTTGCCTATTTTGATAGGTGTAACTCAGTCTCTCTATCATATTACCTTTGCCTTTTTGCTTTTCAGAGGCAGTTCTGTTTTGTTCTTGAATTTTTTTTTGGCAAATATCTATTGAAGTTTTTTCAAATTTTATATAAAATGCAAGTCATTGTAGAGCTGCCACTCTGTGCCTTTCTGTTTGCCAGTCTCAAGACTTGATTGAGCTGCAGTATTTTTAGATTAGAAGAGCTATTTGGTGACTTAATTTGTTAGAACTTTTTATGTGAAAGCATCTTTTTTTTCATGGAAAGAAAGTGCATTTTTTTTTTCATGGAAAAAGAATGATTTGGCCTGACATAAGGTAAATAGAGTTTGTGTTGATTCATTAGAAAGTGCCTGTATGCCTTGGTTATGATTTCTGTATTTTTTACATTAAAAGTATAATGGAATTGTATCTTAAGTTAAAAAACTAGCACTCTGATCAAATTAAATGATGCATTTCTCCATTTGAAAACTCCTAATATGAGTTCATTTGTTACTTTCTTCTCTTCCTCTTCTTACACAAACACTTTTCTAGAGCACGTAATTTGGTATAAACTTTCTATGATTATTGTCCCACAGTGTCTTTGAAGTTTAAAAAAATCCAATGGGTTTAGACATAAGGTTACTTTTGAGTGTATAATATCAAAACATAGGGGAAATCAACATAAATTTGAATATTTACAGCATTTTAAAAGACACGTATTGACACTTCCTGACACTTCTTTATGGTCACATAACCACCTTTTGTGTGAATGGAGCATTGATACATCTGTCATATAGCACTTTAAAACAGTGGGTGTTTTTATACTCTGTTCTCTGTACAGTGATACTAGTTTCTAAAATTTTCCATAGAAAAAGATGTAACCTTGCACTGTGATACGTGATTGTACTTATTTCTCCAGAAAAGTTGGGATTGGACTGAACCTGGTGATGGAGTTTTGCTTTTATTGTATTGTGGACTTGTGACCAAGGCAAATAAAATTTAGGGTCATTTAATTTAAATATCCCAAATTAGCATTTTATTTAGGAAAAGGTGCAGTTTTTCTTGTCTTTAGAAGGGTTTTTATCACTAGGAATGAGTGGGACTATTTATTGCTTTGTCTTGGAACTTGTGCATAGTCATTGAATGCTGGTTAGTGAAAATTCTTGTCAAAAATGCATTATATTTAGGGAAACAACTTTCAGAACTTTCTATCAAATACTACTCAAAAGAAGAAGGCAGAGCAAACACCTGTTGGGGAAGAGGGAGGGAAGATGCCTGTAGCAGAAGTTTATGCTCTGCACTGGTCCACTGATAGTTTGATGGCAGTGTATCCCTGAAGTTAACATTTGGTCTGGTCTTTGTTCTTAGGGTCCATAGGTAATGCATTGAAAAAAGGTTGTGTGATCTTTATTTCAAGTAGTCTTAGAATCTTGTTAGCGCCTACATGTTAAGTCTGGTTACAGCTTTCACAGTTCAGTTACAAATGTATCATTTTAGTAACAGAAGTTGAAACCTCTAGCCTTAATTCTACTGATTTTAGGTTGGACTTTATAAAATGAAATTGAGAAGCTTGTATGTGAGGAAGTAGTCTCCTCCTTTACGTGGTATGTTAAATCACGTTGAAGACTCATTTGGTAATTCTTAGTGGGTTTGAATACTTGAGTACAGCTGATATAGGTGTATTTGAGAAAATCCCAAAGAAGTAAGTTGGTGGAATATTTAGGAAAGTGGTATGCTGTGTGGCCAAAATGCTTTTTGGTGTTACTAGAATTGTAAAATAACAAATGGGCAGAATACGGATTTTATTTTAGAGATATTTTTGGAAAATTACAATTTTTACACATGATCTTAGCCAAAAGGCCGAGAAGCGATGGAGAATTACAATTTTTAAGTGAGTAGTTTTTTTAAAAAAAATTAAGAGTCAAAATTTACACCCTTTATAAAATAATCTTGAAAAATAACGGTATAACAAAGAAAAAAAATTATCCTTAATCCTACTTCCCAGAGATAACTAAGGAGGTAGCAGCATTTGCTATAATTCTAGTCATAGACACACACTTAGATGCAGAGTTGAGATGTATTGTTTACTGTAACATTTTATATCTGGCTTTTTTTTTCCCCCAGTAAATGTAATACTGAGAACATTTGTTCTTGTCATTCTTAAGCAGCTTTATTGGCCATATAATTTGTTGTGTGACATTCCATAATTTAATTATTCTTCCTTTGTGGATGTAGGGGTGATTCTACTTTTGACTATGAATAACATAAAAATATAAATAATGCATAAATCTAGGCATTAAATTTTTTTTTCTCAGGCTTTGAAGTACAGTTCTGGATCACAGAAGAGCCTTTTGTAAAGTTCTTGATACATAGTGTCACATTGCTATAATATTGCTGGGAAGCAGTTTACCCTCCTAATAATTCAAACAATCTAAATGGACTAGAGACTCTGATAATGGATTTTAATGGAGACATTGAAAGATAGTAAATGTTAACATATCCACTTATATATATATATATATATGGGGATTAGGTGTTTAGCATTTTTAAATTTAGTATTTAATGTTTTCTTTTAACTCTTAAGTATTTAATTGATTTTACCAAAGGTGATAGATGTTAGAAATAGCTGTGAGGATGAAGTAAAAAAGTAAAGCTAAAGTGACAGTGACTTTTAATAAATACAGATTTAATATTGTTGGTTAGAGCTTGTGAGAATGTGCTAAGAACAGATTATTTGTGGTCAGGAGAAACCAGGACAGATATTTAAGAGTGAAAGTGGGTAATGGATTCAATAAACTTTATAAAGCAGTAATTGCAGGACAATGACTGGTTCTATTTTAGACCAGTGAGGGAAAGGCAACCTCATCATGAAACAGAACACTAATGATTCCTCTGTGAAACCACACCTGAAATACTTTACATGACTGTCTTCCTTTAGGTAACCTAGAATCCGAAGATTAAGTCAAGGAAGCGGTTTTAAAGAATGGGAAAAAATAGTGCTACTCTCCTCTTTGTCTTCTCTTTTTCCTTTTTTCTTATTGTTCTCTC